GAACACACAAAACAATATACAGATGATGTGTTATAGAATTGCGCATCTGAAACCTATATAATTTTATTAACCAATGTCACCCCAATAAATTCAATAATAAAAAGAAAGACCAGAGAGCTTCCTTTTATGTATATCCCAGTGTCTACCTTAGTCCCTGTTATGGGTGAATTGTGACCCCCAGAAAGATATGTTGACATCCCAGCCCTAAGTACCTCAGAATGTGACATAATTTTGGAAGTGGCGTTTGCAGATGTAATTAGTTAAGATGAGGTCATACATTAACCCAATATGACCGATGTCCTTATAAGATAATGGCCATGTGAGGAGAGACACACAGGGAGGATGCTAGGTGAAGACTAAGTCAGATACTGGAATAGAACATCTGCGAGCCAAGGACTGCCACTGTCACCAGGAAGCTCGGAGAGAGGCGTGGAACAGATTCTCCTTCAAAGCCCTCAGAAGTAATCAACACTGTCGACACCCTGATTCAGATGTATATCTTCCAGAGCTTTGAAACAATAAGTTTCTGCTGTTTTAAGCCACCCAGTTTGTGCTGCTTTGTTACAACAGCCCTGGGAAACTGACACAGTAGAAAACATGCAAAAGTGGTTTAATAACACTGTTCATATTAAATTGAATTGCTGCTACTTAAGAGAGAAAAAAGTAGGCACAACACAATGCCTCTCGGGATTAATCCAGGCCCACACTGCCTTATACAGAGGTTTTTGGGGAAAAGATTTCTCTTTGGCCTGTCTGCAGTCTCATCCAATTATCAGAGCTATTGCCAGAATAAGAGAGTCATTCTACAGCCAAACTTGTCTGATGTGGTCATCTCTTCGCTTGTGTTGTATGCACTTCTATGTATATGTTGCATTTTTCAATAAAAATGGGTTGTAGCTTTTTGGCAACTTACTGTGGTTTCATATCTTGTTTTTCTAAGATAAGATTAGGATTCATGATTCTCTGGAGATACGGTCCTACTCAATTACACTTCTAAATTTAATGTTTATTAGCTAAGATAACTGGGTTCGTGTTCTCTTCCGATACGGTCCTCTTCATTACACTTCTGAGTGTAATGTTTAGCCAGGATAGCTGGGTTCCCATCTGTAGCAACGGAGTTGGCAGAGGCTTTTCTCTTCTACAATGCCTGCCAGTGCCCCCACATCTACCAATGCAAACTCCTTAACATCCTGTGAAACCTGGCTTAAAAATTTAAAAGTTTTCCGACGTCAGGAAACCCACCTGATTTGTGCTACCCTAATTCACTGACGATAATATGCAAACACGTATCAAGCAACTAGTGGTTGTAAGGCCCGAAGATGTACCAAGATGTTCACAATCTTTTTGTGGACATTGAAATTTATGAAAGAAAATAACCGACAGTAGAAATGACTGTCGGAAATGACAGTAGAAAAAGCCTAAAAAGTTATAGGCTTTTGCAGTTGTAGAAACAGAGAAAGAAATGCTCTCACATTCCCTGACCAAATCTCTAGAGTCCCAGTGCCTGTGTCTTGGGGTTGGGACAATTTGCTTTGCTTGGAGAGAGGCCTTTAAATACAGAGAAATGTCAGTCACAGATCTTTTATCTTCCAGGAACGGACACTATCATCGGCAGGCACAGTGTCCTTATGAAATCTTAAAAAGAAGAACCCAAACCGGTACAAAGCGACACAAGGAGGAAAAGAGGAACCGGAGAGGAGTCTGGTGAACGATCCTGCACATGGCACAGCGCTTCAGGAAACAGGGCCCGAGAAAGGGCCAGTGGGCAGAAAGCATGCAGGGGCCCACGGCCCCCGCGCCGGACCGCAGCCGGGCTGCAGTCCCCCGATACTCCTGAGCCCTGGGCAAGCCGCTGTGCCAGTTTCTTCATCCGTAAAACGAGGACATTATGATTTACCTCCCTGGATCCTTGAGAAGATTCAGAGTTAACACAAGTTCTTAGAACAGTGCCCTGCACATAAAGCCTTTGATAAATATCTGCCATTGGGGGGGGGGGGCAGTCCTCAGTGACCTTGGGAGGAACAATCTCTGGCCAGTAGTAGGAGCAGAAACTACCAAGTAAGGGAATTAATAAGCAAGTGAGCAGAAGACTGAGGCAGCCACAAAGTATCGATGCCTTTCACCGCAGCTGAACAATATAAGCGAGGCATGAAATAAAGGATGACCTGCGAGTATAGGCTTAAGGGGCAATGCTTTCCGAGGGGACATCTCGGCGAGAAGGAAAAGGCGTGGCTCGCCAAAACTATTCTTCCGTCAGTGTGGGACTAGCCTCCCCACCCGCACGGCCGCAGGACGCGGCAGGGACCCGACCCTCCCGTCCCCGTCTCCGGCGCGCTCCCCACGGCGCAGCCTCTGCATCCGGTAAGTTTGAATCAGCGCTGACCCACCGCGGGGAGAGGCCCATTTCCTCGCGCAGCGACCTCGGAGCAGGGAGCAGCAGGCTTTCCCGTCTCCCTCCCCAGAACGACCTGTTCCACGGCTATGTGCTCATCACTCCGCTCCTCGGCCACCAGCCGCCGGGACAGGATGCAGCTCCGGGAGCTAAAGAGGCAGCGCCCCAAGTTCATTTCGGCCTCAAGGACACCAAAGCGCCCCAGAGGGGAAGGGAGCAGGAAGAAAGGGGCT